TTTTCCTCTTGCAATTTATCCTGCAAATTGCGTAATTCTTCTAACTGATCATTGTGGGTATAGGCTGTGCGGGAGCTTTCTCTGTACAAAGCCAACTGCTGCTGCAAGCTGTGTATTGTGGTCATCTGTTGTGATAATATACAAAGTAATGTGTTCAGGTGATGTGTTATTTGCAATGCAGCACAGTTGTGATCTTTGAGTGTAAGTTCATCATTAAGCATTTGCTCTGTTATGTCATTACTCGTTTGTAATATTGAGGATGCATTAATAGTGTTGATTGTATTACTACCACTTGATACTACAGTACTGTTCGTAGTTTTGAGTTCTCGTTTTTCTTCTAATTCCTGTAGTCGCGGTGTCATCACTTGCATTGTTGCAAGTTTTGCCACATCACGACAAGGAAATATATTCTTTGCTCGTTTTTCATCAAAACCAGCAAAAGTTTCAGCGCGCTTCGGTAACGTAGGTGAATAGAAATATTCACTTTGCTTCTCACCTACGGAACTGATAGAACGTGAAACAGACAGGCCTGTAGCTGCGGTATAAACAGTCGACGCTAATTGACTTATATCTTGCACATTACTTAGAATACGCTTCCATAGCTCCGTTGTATCACAGTCAACCCCAATTAAATTTTTGTAAGTACCAAACGCCGCTAAGAAATTAGCTGCACTTACTACACTATTGCTGTTATGGCTACCAGTGTTTTGAGATTCTTCGAATTTTTTCTGTTCTTTTATCAAGTTTAATTGTAAAATAATTTTTTCTTCTAGCAGAAGAGCCAACTCAATATCTTTTTGGCGCATTTTTTCAATTAGCTCACGTTTATTGACACCTATACGCAATTTTTCTTCAGCAGTGAGATCTTCAGCTTCGATAACATCGGATGATGGGCATTCAATAACTGCCTGCCGAATAGATTGTATCCAAACATTTTTATCCTTTGGTTTTTGCACTTTTAATTCATACATTTCTGGAAAAGATGGATTCGATGAAATAATATAAATGCCTGGTGACTCTGTTCCAGCCTTTTCTCGAATTAGTAACTTCTGTAAGGGTACTACACCTGCTTTATGTTCTGGAGTAAAAAATGTATATTTATTATGTGATGACTCAAAAAGGAAGCACAAACAATCTGTTAGCACAACTACTAATACCATTTGCATTTTTGAGCGACCTTGCATAAGAGTTGCCTGACCTTCGAATTTAAGTCGCCGGCGTGATTCAACGCCTATATCAGTTTTACGGAATGGTTTATTTTTATATATGGAAAATGACTTGGGATCTACCCGATTAAAAATTTCTATTTGCCGCTCTCTTAATTCTTTTTCAGCTACACAAGCATCTACATCGACCAATAGCGACTTCACAAGGTTTAATGCATGCTGTAGCTTATCACATTCTAGTTTGTCCTCTCGTGCACTCTTAAGCAAAGGCTCAATTAGCAACGGATATTTTGTAAGGCGCTGCGTTACAAATAAAATACATTCTGGTATACCCTTTTTCTTAAGTAAAGGATTTGTTAAGCAATGCTTGTACCATTCAGCAAATGTTTGATCACGGTTTGTAATACACGTTTTAAATTGTTCAAGTGCAGTACGATGATTTGCACAAAATTCACCATAAGCTAATCGTAAATGGTGCGCCTTTTCCTGTGAAAAAAAATCAAGTAGTACGTCAGCAATGCTGTTTACTATATATTGCTCGCGTTGTTTTTGTCTTAATTTACATAAAAATGTTATATGTAATTCAGTTAACTCAGCCAAACGTGGAAACATTTTGTTAATATTAAGCGCTGGAAAATGGCGCTCTAAGCTTTCCACAAAAACTTTTTGCATGACCAATAATGTTTGACAGTGATGCTTTTCGGTCATAATAAATTCATAAATATGCTCTTGACGTTTTATTTGTTTTTCTTTAAGAGACTTAAGTACTTCTTTGGGTACACTAGGTGACCACGAATCGTGCTCTTCGAGTGCAATACCAAGCATGGGATCAGCACCCAAATCTTGCACTTCAATTTGTGGATCATTCAAAAACTCTGAACGTATAAGTGGTGCATCATCATTAAAATTACCGCTGTGATCCGCACCATCATAATAATCTTGTCCAACATCATTTTTATCTCCCGCACCGCTAATACTTCTTTTATTACTAGAGCTGAAGGACATTTTCTGAATGCCAGTTTTTTTATTCTTACATTCTAACTGATGTTCCTTAATATTGACGAGTAAAATATTTGCCCCGCAAGTATCACACACTATTTGACCTAATGCTTTCATTTTAGTTTTATCCTTCTTTTTACGAAAGAAAAGTGAGCCACGTTTACGTCTTTTCTCTACATTGTCATAAACTTCAATTTTGGCGTGTGCTCGTAATAAATTTTGATTTTCATCTTCGCTATCCGTCAAATGGCGAGCGATCGATTTAGGCTCATCTTTGGGTACTATCGACGAAGTTGATATACTTTTTTGCAATGGAATGCGACTAATAATTTCAGTTGCTAAATTACGTTTTGCAGCAATGCGTTCAAAGTCTCGTGCTAGTTCAGCTTCATTTAGAGAATGTGTTGAAATACCTATAAGAATATTTAATAAATATTAATAAAGTTTAATAAATAAATGAAACGTTGTGTGAATATACATTCTAGTATGAAAAAAGGCTTAATTAGATATATATATGAAACTAAAATTAATGTAATTAATTAATGTAACAATATTGAATTCAATATTGAAAGTCTTTATTCTACACACATTGGTGATTTTACAAATGATACTGTTAATTAGTACAATGAATTTAATTATAGTGCAAAATGACTATTTTAAAATTTTGTTTGGCAGTAAACATTAGTCACACGACGAAATAAATAGAAGCATTTATCAGTGCACCTTAAAGGTAACTAAATTTCTTTCAAAGGAACAAAAATAAAGATTACTAACGATAACGAAACAATATCGCAATAACTTTATCTTAAACAAACACTACCATACAATTTAACAATTATTATAAAATATTTCTGTAAGAAGATAAGAATAGCTAAAAAGTAATTAAAGATTTGCTATATCTTCTATTATATGGAAGAAGGTTCATACAATCTCATTATATTGCAAATAATTATTCGGAAAACCTAAATGGAATTGCAATAATTTCAAAATTCATTATTATATTTATTGTCATCAAAATCAAAATAATATTCGTTTTAGATTTATATTAAGACTTAGAAAAATATTATTTGTATTTGTTAGTACCGCATCTATTAAGCGTATGGAATATACATAGTCTAGATATTATTGCTTAAAAATTTTCAACCAACTTTCCATCGTGTACTATGTACTTATATCATTATATTATTTTTTTTTTAACCAAATTGGATTAGAAATTTAATTTCAAGAACGATATCCATTCGTCGAAGACCACCAAGCACTGTTCAACATCCCCCAAATGTGTCACACAAGCAGATCCCTGCGGGCTAGAACAACAACAACAGAAATTTAATTCAAAGAATCATCGCATTTTCTTTCCATATATTCGTCAAAATTTCATTTAAAGAACTATGCGATTTCTTCATTTATTTTGGTCATCTTATCCTAAACGCAATCATTTATTTTGCCTGTGAGAACCACACTTACATTTTACTTTTACATTAGTTTTTGTATTTATAACAATATATATTTCAATATTTATAAAAGAACAGAAAAGAAATTGTTAATAAGTTCCAAGTTACGCAAACAAATTTTTTTAAAAATAAAGTATAAATATACATTGCGAGCTAAAAACAATTTTTTGACTCTGAAAGACGTATTTTCGGCGTAGCACAACATTTAAATATATACTCTTACCTCCTGTACTATTTCGAGTCGATCTTCTACGTTGTTCGGCAACACGCATTGTTTCCTGTTCTTCGCTGTCAAGACTTGATAAACTAACACTTTTGTTTGTGCAGTCACCCGCAGTTAAATCATCCACAGCTGTCCATGACTTACGACGATCAGTGTTAAGCAAATATTGTTGTTGCGTTGACCACACAGCAAAATTTGGGCCATTGACACTTACATTTCCACTACTCAAATCTGGTAGGGATGTGCTTAAAACAGCTCCATTCATTAATCCATAATTAGAAGCAACGTCATGCATATGTACACTGGAATTTTTCATTTGCACAACACTTTCACGTATATTTTGCAACTGATTAAGAGTATCCTCGAATATGTTATTGTATTTAGTAGCCGATGCTGGACTATGTGGTGTTACGTTTATTATAGGTATCATGTTATTGTTAATTACACTTTTATTATAAGAAATAAGAGGCGCCTGTATTATAGGCATACAATAATTTTTGCTCTCAATGCAGAAATTATTTGAATTTGTTGAATTTTTATTTGTGTTTGAAATTTGGGCAACTGTGGGATTTGTGATTTCGGTAGAAGTTCTGTTCAAACAATTGGAATTAATAAAATCAGTGACTATATCATTGTCGCTATCGTCATCCTCTGTAGCTTGTAATCTGTTGTCCATGTTAATGTGAAAAGGTTATAAAATTAAAAGTTTTGTGAGCTATATAGCATTCACCTGTAATTATTTAACCAAAACCAATTTTAGTAAATTTAATTTTTAACTGATGGAATTCATATATTACCCAATTTGTCCTCAATTGTTGTGCAGCAAATTTTTTTTCATATACTAAACAACGTATATTTTTTCTGCTTGGCATATGTAATTACAGTATACAAAACAAAACTTAACTTTATATATGTTATTTTACACTAAAATACACCAATTTTATTAATTCAACTAAATTATAGGCATTTTTTATAGCTGCTCTAGAATTTAATTTCTTTTTATAATTCAGGTTTCCTTATCTAATATTTACATTAAATCAAGACATAAAAAAAGATACTTTAACTTTCGTTAGTTTTATTGCTAATAATAATTTTAAAGTTAACGCAATTGAGTTATACTTGATCAGAATAATACAATTATTTCTCTACTTAACACACAAACAAACATATTTTACATGTATTTTATAATGATAAACGCTTCCCAAATTTTATATGCAGACAACCCTGTTTGCGTTACATCGACGTTTCTAACAGGTGGCAATATAAATTGCATGTATATCAAATAACATTATTTAGAGATATTCTGTTCTTAACCTGCCACACCAAAAATTCGGCAAAGATATGCATTTTTATATATTATTTTAAGTTAGGCTGTGTACGAGTTCGAGTAAATTGATGGTAAATTGAAGAAAATAATAATTTATATCGATATGGCAGCGAAATTGATATTTACCAGAATTTCGAGTAGGGTAAATTAGGTATTACCATTATGAAAACTTTTTAAGATGTTTAATAAATAAATTTGAAAACTTTTTTATTATATTATATTATATTATATTATATTATATTATATTATATTATATTATATTATATTATATTATATTATATTATATTATATTATATTATATTAATTATATTAATATATTATATTATATTATATTATATTATATATATTATATTATTATTTATATAATTATAATTATATTTATTATTATATTATATTATATTATATTATATATATAATACTATATTATATTATATTATATATATATTATAATTATATTATATATTTATATTATATCATAGTACTATAGTGTTTATTATATTATATTACTATACATGTAATCATATTATATCACTAGATTTTTATTATATTATACTATATTTTTTATTATATTATATTTCTATATTTCTTATTATTTTATATTTCTTTATTTTTTATTTTATTATATTTTAATATTTTTTTTTATTATATTATATTATTTATTATATTATATTATGTCATAGTACTATAGTGTTTATTATATTATATTACTATACATGTTATCATATTATATCACTAGATTTTTATTATATTATACTATATTTTTTATTATATTATATTTCTATATTTCTTATTATTTTATATTTCTTTATTTTTTATTTTATTATATTTTAATATTTTTTTTTATTATATTATATTATTTATTATATTATATTATGTCATAGTACTATAGTGTTTATTATATTATATTACTATACATGTTATCATATTATATCACTAGATTTTTATTATATTATACTATATTTTTTATTATATTATATTTCTATATTTCTTATTATTTTATATTTCTATATTTTTTATTTTATTATATTTCAATATTTTTTATTATATTATATTGCTATATTTTTTATTATATTTTATTTTTATAGTTTTGAGCTATATTTTTTATATTATATTTCAAATTTTCTTATTATGTTATATTTTTATATATTTTTTATTATAACATATTACTATATATATTATTATATTATATTACATAATTATTATTATATATTATATTTATATTATTATAATATATTATATATATTATATTATATTATATTATATTATATTATATTATATTATATTATATTATATTATATTATATTATATTATATTATACTAATCAAAATTTTCTTGCAGATAAATCTTAGAAGAAGCCCCACTGGATATCCTGTAAGTGATCAGTTATATTTACTAAGTATAAAGTCGCGTTCTTTAATATATGACAACAACACTCTATAATTTGTAATATATTGTTCATATATTATAATTATGTTTTTCGAAGTTATATGAATGCATGTTGTAAAGAAATTGTGCAATATGAAGTAAAGTTGCTCATAGACTTTAAAACTCTTATTTTGTTTCAGTCGTAGAATTATTAAAAGCATAAAATTATTAAAAGCATATTATAAATTTTTGGTGTAGTAATGTTAGCTGGGGCATTTTCTGGCCAAATCTAGTTGCATTGTTTAAACTTTAATATTTAATTATTAAATGTAATATTAATACTATTATGTTATAATAAAATATACATAGGACCTATTACATAATTATGTTAAGTTACATCCTATTGACCAATTTTCTGTCTTGTGGTTAGGTTGTATCATTTCTTCTATTGAACTCTTATATGTTATAGTATTTTATTATTATATATTATTATTATTATTTATGTAACTTTGTAGAAAATAAATATTGATAAATTTTGTTTATGCAAAATTAATTAAAATATATAGCTATTGAAATTATTTCTGTCAAATAATTACTATTTTTCTAGAATCTGTATTCAGGCGGAGCCGGTGGAGGTTCAATTCCTGTAAGTATTATAGGCAATTTTGAAATAAAATAGTGGAAACGTATGTATATAACTCATATTATGTATAAATTTGTAAAATATTTATAGAAAATTCAATTACAAGACGAATACGGAAGAATTGTGAGTAGAAAACATATGTTTCATATAAATAATTATGTTTACCGTTAATACATGAAATAAAAAATTTTTAATTTAAGGGCCCATGTCCGGAGGAAGTCAATGAAGTAAATTCATATATAATAAAACTATATTTTGTATTGTAAAGTTTTAATTTTAGTTACCATGTCCACCCAAAAATCGATCATTTCAAGTAAGTTCAATTTTGTAATATTTATTTTTAATTGAACAAGTATAGTAAGTTCATAAAATTTTAATAATTGAATTAAACTTAATATTGTAATATCTATTCCTACTAAGTCACCATGCCCAGCACAAGCTTCGTCAAATTTGGTAAGTTCATTAAATATTTATGCATTAAATTTCAAATGCATAAATATTTAAATTTCAAATGAGGTATTATTAATTTTAATTAAATAAATTTAATTACAGTTACAAGTTCCATCAATTCGAGTAAGTTCATTTAATCTATAATATATATTAAATTGCAATCTTATACCATACATTTTTAAACACAGCCGCCACGTCGCCCACAAAGTTCTTCTCGTCGAGTAAGTCCATTAAATTTTGATAGATCAAGTATCAAATTGAATATTATTAATACAATTTTATAACTTATATTTTACTACAGTCACCACGTCCAATTCAAAGTTCACCGAACGTTGTAAGTTTACGGAACGTTAATATAAAAATGATCAAATTAATAACATTTTTAATTTCAGTCGCCATGTCCAGCACAAGGTTCAACACAAACAGTAAGTTCATGAAAATTGGTTAAATAAATTATTATTAATTTAAATTTCAAAATTTCAATTAAGTAATATAAATAAATCATATGTAAATTAGATAATATGTCATATTAGAATTATTCCCCTGTCCAACCGTTGGTCAACTATTGCCATCTATTCTCAACATATTTTCCATTATATCATGATATATGATCTGATTCTCTTGTATATTATAATACTACAATTATGCTACTATTATGATTAGTGTCTAGTAAACCTTCATTAAATGTATCCGTTCATCTCGTGAGTAAAAGCCAAAGTTCTTCATTTAAGTTGGAATACTCTAAATATTCTATGTTTTATATAATAATCAGATTCAACAATAGTGTGATGAATAAAGTGGTAACTTTTCTAATTTTATCTATTATCTTCTAGTATTTTTTGAATCCTACGACTAACATGGATGTAGTAAAAGTGGTTTATTTTTATTTGTATAGTGGACAAATATTGCATCTACAATTATACAGATCTGTCATAAAATAAAGACTTTGATCGATATTATTATTCCTATATGGATTATATGATATGACTCATAAATTTTTTGCTAATATTATAACAAAATGTTATATTTCCTCCAAGATTAATCTTTGATAGTTAGACATAATGCTAAAGTATTCTTAGTATACCCTAAGATACTTCTCTACATATAGAACTTTAAGTATTTGTAACGAAGAAATGCTAAAAATTTGAATAACTTAAAAATGTTTATAAATTATAAAAAATAAATAATTTACTTTCTGTTCATAAATAAATAAATAATAAATTTTTATTTCTTGTTTTTAGGGCACACAATTTAGTTTTGACTGTACAGCTGTTATTGTAAGTATCTCACCAATTAGATTCGTTTGAACTTCACTAAATTTTGATTATTTAGTGTTTGTAGGTCTAAGTGAACAAAATTATTGGAATAATAGAACAATTGTGTTTTTGGAAGTTACTTATTATTTCTCATTGTCGACGTTTCGATGTTTTTCTGACTTCGGTCAATATTGCATCAACCATTGAAAGGAGTGCCCAAGAAGATTAAGATCATATGAAAAAAAAAATAACGAGAACAATAAATAGAAAAAAAGAGAATCACAATAAGCTACTGTTTTTTATAGTTTAAAAATATTTAAAAAATTTTTTTATAAATTTTCATAGATATAACACAAAACTAAGTTCATTAAATAACATTTAAATCAAAAAAATTTTGAAATGTCGGCAATAAAAACAATATATCTAAAAATGAAAGACTGTTTTAATATCCCAGATTTTTGTTCACTAAAATCTACAAATACTATATATATATTACTCTATTCAATTATTTAAAAGGAAAAATTACAGTAAAATTTATTTATTTTCAGCACATAGATTCGCCAAATGGAGGAGCCGTAAGTAGTCAATTCAATTTTTTTAATAAGTTTATGGAAGGTTGCGAGCTAAATGTGCTTTATTTATTACTTAGATTACTTTATTACCTAGAGCTAGAAAAGCTCTAGGAAAATACTTTACACATACTTTGTGGATGTATCGTGTTTATTATCATACTTTATGACTCATACTATAACTATTAGGGTATAGGCTCGGCTGAGTTTTGTGCTATTTTGTCCAGAAAAGATTTTTTTCTCTCATTAAATGTGTTTACTACTTACTTAACATTCAATAAGTACTACTTCATAATCGAAGTTAATTATGTTCTTATATACCCCAAGGTGTTTTCTCACCTCTACTCGAACACCGATGGCCGTGTGTCAGCAAAAATATAACATTACTAACCTTTTTAACTTGATGTGAAAAATAATCAAATTTCTTTCATTCAATTGCTGACCGATAAAATTTTGTTGACTGAATTAATTTTCTTCCCGAAATATGCAGTTATTGGCCGTTGACCTTGCATCACTACAAGAATTTGTTTGCAAGTTAAAAATTAATCTATAACCTACATCAACTATAACGTTTTAAGGTTTTGAAAATTTTCTTATCAATAGCTAGTTCAAGTTTTTAGCAACTGTATAGTTACAGACTCTCCCTCATCGTCCGAAGGCTGATTTTTATTCCCAAAGCTAGAAAGCGAGAAAGTATAGTGTCGGTAAAGACTACAGATCAATCAAATTAATCCCTTAAATGTTCAGAACATTTAAAAGACTGTTCGAGGTGCATGTAATAGTTTTTTTTATTGGAGACTAGCGTACATACAATTGTGATTGTAGAGAAAGATCAACCGAAATATAATTTCATAAAGTTGTCGTTTGATAAAGAAATCGCGTATTGAATTCCAGCCATATGCTCTAGCTGCATTTAGTTTTTAAACTAACATGGTTCTTATAGACGTAAGTCAATACAATACTGTTCACTAAAAAAAAAGCTATCCTGATTTGGGTGTATATGTAATATGCCCGCACGGTCATGAATAAAGTGCTCATTTTTTATATGTCCTCCAAATAATCATTATCAATTTTCGAGAGTTTGTCCAAAAGTATCTTAATTCGATTTTTTTGTGAATTGTTAGTTAAAAACTCCATTAGCACTTGCACATAAATGTAGCAGATGATATATTATGTGAAATAAGTAACTTTATATTATTTACTAGCAATAAATTTAAAGTCCATTCAAAAGTCACATATTTTTTAAGGGTTGCCCAGATGCAGGATATGACTACCAAGCTAATTTTGTAAGTAATGACTACCATTTCAAAACTGCAAGTGTAGAAAAAGAACATGTTGATTAATTAATTTTTTCTTTATAGAATCTAGTAATAGATGTTGATAATAATGAAATGGTGAGTTTATTCCTTTAAATTTGTAAGAGAATAATATAGAATAGAATAATAATAATAGAATAGCATAAGTTCTTATATTATTGCGTAATTTATCACAAAATTCTTATTTGTGACATTTAAATAAATATTTAAATATATGGCATACAATTTTTAAACTAATTTTTCTATTGTTTTTTCTTTTAGTATATAACGTGAAACTTCCTGAGGAGAGAAGCCTTTTGCTTGATTACATTCATCCAATTTACAGTGATGTTATGCAAAACCAACTTAATTAAATAATTATTGTAGTAAATGTACTAAGAAAATTGTAACCCTTTCATAATCAACATTAAAAAAATAATAAAAAAAAGTTAAATTATTTTATTTAAGTTTGATACAACAACAGTCAGTAAAGAATATTTCTTAACTGAAAACTATTTTATGCAATTTTAGTAGGCATAAGATTGAACTGAAATGTATAACTTATCTGAGTACATTATTAGATGTCATGAACTGTACACGATTAGCTACAAAATGAGATGACAATCTCAACATTAATATTTCCAAAAAAAATTTCAGATAAAAATATACTTTCATAATCGTTAAGCCTGTTATCAGCAACATAGATTCATGTTTTGTATATAGACAACCAAACCTCATAAATTTTTTTTTTTAATCGATTAAGAAGAGTGTGCTGATTTATATCAAAGCAGCATGAATTTTCTAATACCTGATTTTTTTAAGTTTAAAAAAAATTAAATGTTCAGTATACATAAACAAGCATATATAAATATTAACAATATTGGTACTTAAAAATTTGTCATAAATTGTGATTTGTTGTTGAATACCGTCCCACTCAAACAATACGAATAATTGAATTGTGGAAAATTAAATAAAAAAACTTCACTATTCTGCACAAAGTAATTTTAATTTAATTGTTAAATTATTTTAATTTAATTTGGTATTTTAATTTGGTGTCCTGATCTTCAGTCACCAATTAGCAGGGGATCCATCATTCTCATGGGCCCATATCCACCTCAATGAGTGCAAACTCATGCCGGCAGTACATCATCAGTTTACTCAACATATTGATCCGGATATATCAAATTTCAAAAAAATAAGGTATTTCATCTCCTGCTCCGCACATTGACATTGTGACCCACGCCATAACACAAACGTTTCTAAGCGCTATCGGCGATGCCTGCACATAGTGGTGGCTAGTCGCCGGTAATGTTTATGTTCAACAAGTCACAAGTTCATAGCCATACAAAAATAAAGTGATGGTATAATCTACTCCCCTTAAAAATACCCTACCTTATTAAATACAGGAATGAAATAAACGAATAAAATAAAATATATATACTTACATACAAGTAAAATAACGAATTAAAAGTAAATAAATAAATAAATAAATAAATAAATAAATAAATAAATAAATAAATATATACATAAAAGATATATGAAATAAGATATATGAATTGAAATATACGAATTCAAATATATTTAGATATAAATAGATATAAACTATTATCAGAATAGACAGATTGTGCTATA